AGTACAGGGGTCGGGACGAAGTCGTCGTGAATTTTCTAGAATCCAGCAATGTTAAACGAAACCGTGTCGGTTTAGGAAGTGAGTTTTTGCAGCCGCAATCAGAATTTAGGCGATTTACACGATGAGCAGGTGGCTAGTAAGTTCTGCCACTCGCGAACGGCAGAAAAGTATACAAGGTGGGCCAAACAAAAAGTACAGAGTTTGGGTCAAGGGCTCTCGCGAACCGTAGCACAACCGCCCATGGGTTCGGTCCAGATGGCTCAAAGGAAAGGGCGTACTGTACGTGTTTTTCGCGCGTTGCGTGCGGGTGCGCGGAATAGCAACCGGTTTTTAGCTGCGCAGGCCTGCTTTCGCAATTGTGCGACGCGTCTAGCTCACGCGTTGCGGTCTTCCCTCCTTTCCAAAGCTACCGGACGTTTTATTAGGATCCGGGCCGCTGTGGTAGAGAATTGAAGATGCGTTACCATGCCAGAATGCTTAAATATGCTGGGTATGAAGATTTAACACAACTAGATTTTTTCGATTTTCGATTTCTTAGTTTCCTGCGGTGCCTGGTTTCTAATTTTTACTATGTAAGTTAATGTAGGTAATAGATATGCACCTAAAAAATTTGAGAATTTTTGTGTGTCTGGTTGAAAAGTTACCGAGGAATGAAACTTTGTAAGGAGAAAATACGTAAATTTCGAAAATTACAAAAGGATATGGCGAAAACGTCAAACCAAGTCGTTGTATAAAATCTACGGGCTCTGTACAAGCGCATAAAAGAATTAAAAAAATTATCGGGGTCGACGAATTTTCGAGTTTTTCAACGATCCCTGGTCATGGATTTTTTCGAGGTCACGAAACTGAACTTTCGAAAAATATTTCTGGATTACGAAAGGGGACTCAGCTATTTTCTTTGCATAACTATATAGGACTGGGGTTTATCTATGATCTACAGAATCTCGACCTGCCGTACCCCCTTGGAAGGGCGTCTTTTAGGGCCTCTAAGACGGTTGGTTCCTGCTTTTTCCAAACCTTGTCACCGTTCTATAAATTTTTCACGCTATTAAAAGTGTGGTTTTATTTTTATCTAATGCTATTTGACTAGCGCATTCTAAAGTCATGTTCATGAATTTATTTGACTTTGACTTATTTGATTTCAGTTGAATACTCAGTACGTATCTAACGGCGGACATAACCCCGTACAATAACGAATACGCATCTGGGGCATTCTCCTTCAAGGAATATACTCCCGCATCTCTTATCAAGTATAGAATAGTCTCGCGCTCTGTTTGTCATATCAACGCAATCCATCGCTCCTCTTCGGCCTTGAGAGATAGAGAGAATGCCTTGAGAGAGAGAGAGAGAGAGAGAGAGAGCGAGCGAGAGACAAAAAGAAGGTAAATTGGATAAAGGGAAAGTTATGTGCCCCCGCCTAGATTCGGATAGACGGAGAAAGATCAGTGTGGGCGATGGGGCGTGTGGCGTTCTTGTTGCTTCTTACTGGTTCACTTTCTTCTGCCTTGATCATATTCGTGGATTCTTCTAACTGCGTGCACCTCCGATGCCAATGGAGGGGAGAGGGAGAGCATTGCAAACCTTCACGCAACCTCCGCGAAGCATACAAACGGGTAAGTAGAGAGGTTTCTTTCGAGAATTTAGAGAGTTCAGATGTACATGCTATATCATTGCATTATTTCAGGATCGGTGTGGAATAGCTTTCAAATTTGCTTACAAGGACGAGACAGATGCGGACCTCATCTGGCGCATAAAGGTACGGGAAGCGGTGATGAGAGTGCGAAAACCATCTTAACATAACATAACATTTATTGATCACATGAAACAATAGAGATGACAAGAGACATGCAATTGACTGAAACGAATCTATGACCTAGGGAAATGGGGTGCATCTCACACACAGAATCCACACAGGTGGGGGTGGACGAGGTCCCGCAGGAGCCCTATATATACGATTTTCAGCGTGGATTTCCTCTAAATACGTTCACGATCGACGATGTCGCACTGGGTGCAGAGTGTGAAAAGAAGAAGCAACTGTGCTGCAACGTGGCGCGCGTTGAAGTCAGCAAAAACTACAAGCACCTATGCTCAGTACAATATATGCCCTATGACATCTGAAAGTCAACAGCGTCTTGACCTAATCACCGCGCATAAAATAATGATTATTTCATCTTAAAGAGGGGCTGTCAGACGGATGGAATCCGCAACTCGAATCCACAACTCAGGCGACGCGGTCGCGCGGCACGGCTATTTTTTCCAGCGCTAATCATTTTTTTTTCTTTTAGTCCGGCGATAATACACACATTGTTATTTTAACGTTTAATTACATCAAAATGCTTGTGAAAATCGGCTTAACAAAATAAGAAATATTAGAAATACAAAAAAGCTTCTTTTATTATTTGTGCAACTGGTCATCAGGCCGAGCGCGTCGGCGAGGCAGTGAGTGAGCGCAGACTTTGATGCCGGTTTCGTACGCATACACTAAAAAAACATGGCGGAGTGCGAACATAAGTTGTTGAGGTGGATGAAGAAAACCTTTTTACCTCACTTTTACTAAAACTTATATAATATATACTGGATGTCCCAAAAAAAACACCCCCTCTAGCGGTCCCGGGGAAGCTCAGATCATGATGATTTTCATACCATTCGAAAGCCCGCGAAAAGGCGAGAAAATAAGCGGGCTTGATTTTCTAGGATTTTTTCTTATTCGTCCGATATTCAACGTTGTTCTAAACAGGTAGCTTTTCAATAGGAATTTCGCAATTAACATGCAGGTCTCGCGTAAATCTGCCGTTTTCATGGTTTTTGGAGGTAAAATTAGCGAATAATAATACATAATAAAGAAAATGAGCCCTCCTTGTTTTCTCCCCTTTTCGAGAGCTTTCGAATACCTTAACGGTGAAAATCGGACACGACTGCGTGCCGCTAGAGGGGGGTGCTTTTTTCGGGACACCCTTTATATTCACTAAAGTTGATCCCTTGTGAGTGGTAACTGTATTGTACACATTATCCTTTGCGTTCTATTCTTTATTTGGTATGAATTTTTATCGTGAATTAATACAAATAAACGAATTATAGCGAAATTTCTGCGCTTCCGCCGTACAACATGGACATGCTTGAGATTTCTCACAATTCTACTTTCTAGGACGCGCGCGATCTTCTGGCGAGCACTACATATAATAATATTGTCACGAAACGTGTACACAAATATTTGATAACACACACGCAGGTAGTTTTTGAAGGGGATTTCGGCTAGGGGAGGTATCTAAAGCCATCAGGAAGGTATTTAGGTAGTTTTTGAAGGGGATTTCGGCTAGGGGAGGTATCTAAAGCCATCAGGAAGGTATTTAGGTAGTTTTTGAAGGGGATTTCAGCCATGAGGGGTATCTGAAGCCATCAGGAAGGTATTTAAGGAGTTTTGGAAGGGGATTTCGGCTAGGGGAGGTATTTAAAGCCATCAGGAAGGTATTTAGGTAGTTTTTGAAGGGGATTTCGGCTAGGGGAGGCATCTGTAGCCATTAGCGTCGGTATAAATAGAGCCTGGGGATGGATGTGATGGCTGGAAAGCGTGAAAGGGGACAGGGAAATTTGTTTCGACTACCTAGCAAAAACGTCTCGAAGGTTCCTTCAGGATCAAAGCCGCTGTTTAAAAGTCTTGGATTTGTCTCACGGAGAAAAATTCTTGACGTAGCCAGGCGGCTACGCTTTATCGCCAGCAAAACAATTCAAGAAACTAATATCCCTCTCACCCTAGAAACATCCTGGCTAAATCATCAATCAACTATTTGACCTATTTGAAGACTTTGACCCCAGAAACTATTTGAAGCTGGCAACCTTCCAGAAAAGTTGAGCGTTGAATTAAAAAAGCACGCATTCCCCACATAACACACAGATTTTTAATAAATTTTGATAAGCTGATATCCTTGGGAATAGTGGAAACCAATGCCCAAACTCACTCTCTATTTGTTCAAAATTTAGAGACTCTCGGGAAACGTTTCTGTGAAACTTTTTCTTGAGTGAGAATTGTCGGCGGAGTCGACAAAAAAATTAGGCCGGCCGATCGGCCGACCGGAAGTCACTTGCATACGGTCGGCGGCCCGGAAACGGCCGATTTTTTATGCTAATGCGGCCGTCGGCCGGTCGGCCGCGGCCAGCCGATCGAAATTGCCATGTCTGCCCTTCCCCCATCACCCCGGACTGGTGGCCTAGTGGCGTAGTCGGCGGCGTATGGGGCATCTATCGAGGGTTCGAACCCGCTCACGATTTTTCTTTTTCTTTTTCGTACACTAAGCCACCAGACCACGGTGATGGAAGAAGGGGGAAGGCGTATGAAGGTAGGGCGGCAAATATTCAAAATGTATGCAGAAACTTAAAATGCTTATAACTTTGTTAGTTCTGGGTATCTGCCGCTGAAAGTTAGATCAATCGATTCGTCTCGTCGAGCTCTACAAGATGAGTTAACTTTCAACTCGAAATTCGAGGCGGAGCTGAGACCATCCCCCATGTAATTGGCCCTCAAAGTCCATTCTTCCTATGAGATTCTATCTTCCAGTGACACTTCGTGGCGGTCGAAAAGCGGCCTATCAGGGCTTGGTGCTGCGACCCATGTGGGGCAACAGGGAAGTCGTGATATGAGGTCGCTCTGCATCAGAGCCCTCCCTCTGAGGCGGGACATTATATTTTTTTTTCAGATAAGTGAGCCGCGCCGCTTTTCGTTTTTTTGCAAGACCTAAGTCTCACAAACCCAATTTCAACCAATCACTTTTCTACGGTTGTTAGTCGGAATTCTCGAGCACAAGACCCATACAAAGTTATTACGCGCTTGTATGCCGTCAGCTTCCCCGATGCTCGATTTTGATTGATTGGTCTTGGCTGGCGGTAGAATTTCGAATTCAGTTGTCATTTCGCAATGCAGATTTAGTGCTAATTAAACCGGCTTCGCCGATTTTATCCCTCTCCTCCATCTCCGTTCGTGCTCTACCAGCATTGCTAAGCCAGGAATGGCCGTGCCAACGAAACAAGTGGTCGTTTGGTGGAATGGGCGGTCTGAGAGAATGAAAATCCCTGAGAACTATTCGCCCGATTTGGTAAGTCAGGATTTTGCTTCACGTCGAGCTTTACCACTTGATAATTTGAACAAAGGAAGCTTTAAGGAAGATCAACGGCACCGTGGAAACGAAACACCCGCGGACGACTTTCACGTTATCGGCAAGGGTGCACAGGCGGGGGTCATGTAGGTTTCAATTGGCCAGGCAAACTTCTAAGACCAATCAATTCTGAAGCCATCTGAACTGGCTAACGTAGAGCCTTGGAAGTAGTGATGGGATTATGCAAATCAAATCGAGTCTCAATTCTGAGGGTTTGATTAAGCTTCCGGCGTTTTATTCAAATCTCCAAATTTTTGCCTGCGAAGCACGCAAAAAGGGCTTTTACAGCGCGGGAGTATAATAAAAGAACACATTTCTAACTTGCTACATTACTTTGCAAAGATTTGGATATTTGAATAAGAACCGAACGCTTAATCAAATTCAGAGTTGAGACCGGATTTGATTTGAATAACCCCATGACCACTTTGAAGTCGTCCTTGGACGCTGGCTAACACGCTGTAAAAAGGGTGACTGAAGTGATCCGATCGTGTGGGATCGAAATCAAATTCTTAACGACAAACAGAATTTAGTGGTGCGATACTGACTTATCCGACTGGCGACCGCCGGGTGGCTGCGAAAAGGTGAGAAATTTACCAATTCACGAAGGTTTTCCTTGGACGCTGCATGAACACGTAAACGCACCAGAATTAACGTCCGCGATAAGTGTAATAAGTTTAGATATGTGATGGCCGATCTGCGCGGTGAAAAGTCTTATAGATGGTTGATGCGCGAATTGCAGAATACACAGTATCTCGTACATCCAAATGTGGGTATGAGCAGACTGATTTTAGGCGCCAAATAACCTCCCTGAATGAATTGTTTATCATCAGATCGTTCAACATATGGAGACCTTCTTTGAGGTGGGGCCGGACGACAACGTCAAATATACCTGGATAGTCACGGAACGCATGGAGCTAACGCTACTCGAACATTTTACGTAAGCAGTGACATGAGACTCCGCAAAATTGTTTCCCGTGCGTTCAGATGGGCCTAGCAAAGCAACAAAAAGGCATTGATATCTGTATGTGTAAACGATATTCAGGAGAGTCAATCATCCCGATAGAGTGGAGAGACAACGCAAGCACGGAAAAGTTGCCGCACTGATGACGCAGATCTTTATGGCCCTCGACTTTCTGCACAATAGAGGAGTTATGCACAGGGTAACACTCAATTTTTTTTTCGTGACATCCTTTTCTTGGCACCTGCGAATTCACTTCCTCGAAAAGTTTCCAGGACTTGAACCCGAAGAACATTGCAATGGATCGTGACTTGAACATCAAGCTCCTCGATTTTGGTTGTTCAGGGTCAGCCAACGGGGAATTTAAAAATATTTTATGTCAGCCTGACAAACAGCGATGGTGAACACACGGGACATGACGGTGTCGGCACACCTCTGTTCTACAGACCACCTGAATTATTGCTTCCTGATGTTCGGTACGACGCACGCGGTGGGAATTCCACACTCACTAGGGAAGTGCAAATAAAAAACCCAGCGAACCGCTTAGCAAAGATATGGGTCTGATAGAGTCGGCGACGGGGATTCCGAAACTGCAATCAGAATTTGCAAAACGCTTAAAGGGATGCCGACGGCATAAGTCAATCGGTTACGCGCGGGAAAGAAAATGTCTCTGCGCCTCTTCCCAGGGCGCGCTCTCTGCCCTGTTGGCTACTTGCCAATTTGTTGATAAGGGGGGATCGACACATGCCGTCGGCAATCCTTTAACACAAAAAAGTTATGAGCATTTACAGTTTTGCACCACTACTCCGCCCTCCCTTATGAGCCCCTCCCAAAGAGGAGTGTCCGCCCGTCGAGTTGTGTAGTGGCTAACTAGCCTGCCTCTGGGGCGGAGGGTCTCTGGTTCGACCCCCCGGCCATGCAAAACTTTTTGCTTTTTGGTCAAACTCAACAACTTTAGACTTTTTCAAAGTTTCAAAGTCAAGGCCGTTCTCTTAATTTTTAAATTAATGAAACCGATTACAAAGTGATGGCGGCAGTGCAAGTACCTTTGCGGGTAGCTAAAAAAATCACCTCTGTTTTTCGTAAGGTAAGCCTACACGCAGTCAATAATAAAGAAAATGTTAAAAAAACTAAATTTCGGACTTCGAAACTTTGAAAAAGTCTAAAGTTGTTGACTTTGGCGAAAAAGTCAAAAGGTTTTGCATGACCGGGGAGTCGAACCAGAGACCCTCCGCCCCAGAGGCAGGCTAGTTAGCCACTACACCACCCGACAGGCGGACACTCCTCTTTGGGAGGGGCTCATAAGGGAGGGCGGAGCAGTGGTGCAAAACTTAAAATGCTCATAACTTTTTTGTATTAAGCGTTTTGCAAATTCTGATTGCAGTTTCGGAATCCCCGTCGCCGACTCTATCAGACCCATATCTTTGCTAAGCGGTTTGCCGGGTTTTTTATTTGCACTTCTTTAGTCAGTAAAACCCCCGTATCGGGGCCGTTCAATGACCAGGCTTTGCCTCCACTCCGGCTTCTGTGTCTAACAAAGTGTTGTGCCCTGATCTCCGGGCGTTTGCAATTTGATTGCCTTCTGCTGTTCAAATGCCAACACCGTTTGGCTTCAAAAACACCTTAGGGTGGGTCATAAAAAATCCAGGTTGGGTCAAAGCATAACGGAAACCAATCGGGCCTCGTTACCGGGCCAAAATGCTTAACTCTCCGAGGCTAAAAAGATGCTTTTAAAAATTTACATATCTAGCATAGTACCGAGTTTATTAAGGTTTTAAATAGCCAGCAACTTTTTGTTGTTCCCCATTTTCTGGCATTTTTCAGAGTTTGAAAGGAATTTAACACTTTTTGTTGGCACGAGAATTAACCTCTTTTTGCGAAACTCACTGTAAAGTGTTTTTACTCAAGTTGGAGTTTCGATTCGGGACCAAGTGCATCTTGTGCAGAATTTTTTGCTGATACCGAATCCGTTTTCCAAATTTGCTGCGGACTTTTATTTAAAAAGTCATTTTTGGTGCAAATTAAGCTTGAAAAAGCCAAAAATTCGGATCCTGGTCCACTACCCTTCATGGTTCTGCCTCTCCCAGGGGGCCGGAAGTACTCTGTCACAGCTCCCCCTCCCGGTTGGCACCATGGTGCATTGGCAAAGTACTCGGTTACCAATCGCAGGGCGACGGTTCGGATCCCCGCCCTGCCCTTACTTTTGCTTTTTTCATAAAAAAATTTAATTTTTTATAAAACAAGCTTGTTTTGACTTTTAAGATGAAAAGATTAAGATGATGTTTAAGACTTTGAAGTTGGAATTGATCAGGAAAATCGAAAACGATAACGGTTCCTTGATTTTGGTGAAAAACACTACCATAACTGCTGTATAACTTTCAAAATAAAAGTCCGCAGCACATTTGGAAAGCGGATTCGGAATCAGCGAAAAATTCTGCACAAGATGCACTTGGTCCCGAATCGAAACTCCAACTTGAGTAAAAACACTTTACAGTGAGTTTCGCAAAAAGAGGTTAATTCTCGTGCCAACAAAAAGTGTTAAATTCCTTTCAAACTCTGAAAAATGCCAGAAAATGGGGAACAACAAAAAGTTGCTGGCTATTTAAAACCTTAATAAACTCGGTACTATGCTAGATATGTAAATTTTTACCAGCAAAGATTGTAAATAGTAGATATCGTCTACAGAGAGTAGAACAGAATTCGTAGAATTCTCCTGCTGAAGACGATTTGAGCATTGGTTTAACGATTCCGACCCGGGAAACGGTTATTAGGCGGTCTATCACTGTCAATCAAGCCCACTTTTTATGACCCACCCTGTTGATCATGGTGGCGCCAAGAAACAGAATTTCTCAATGCGTCCTAATTTCAGTTGACGTTTGGGCCGTCGGTTTGATTGCGTTAGAGATGCTCGGCATGCCGCCGTTTTCCGCAAACGGGTTCACTGGCGGTGTAAGTTGTCCAAAGGGGTTTGCCTTACCGGTATTCGCGGTCAGATCCGCAAATATGACAATTTTAAACAGCCGGCTCTTTTTGCCTAGCATCATTAAATCACAGTCAGCACCGCGTCGGAGCCGTATTTCACACCATTTCGTAACACCCTGTCATACTGAGTTTGAAACCTCTATCCACAATTTTCTTATGAAGCATGGCATCAGCAACATTTTAGAGCCCGAATGAATATTACCGATGGGCCCTTAAGGAAATGATTAAAGTGCTTGGGCTGCCTGATCATCGCCACGAGACAGTGTAGGATGTATTGGGTGCAACATATTAAATCTTCAGTTTCGGCAAACATTTCTGCAGAGATGCACCGTGCGCATCGCGGCTTATGGAGACAATTGCTGTCCCTTTAGGGCGCTTGGATGTTGATACGATGCTTAACAAAGGTGGGCTGCATCACGATCGCAAAAACAATTTCGCTTCCTAGCTACTAAGCGCACAATAGCTCTAACCAGAGTTAAAATTGACTTTCAAATCGTAAACTTATGTTTAAAGCTTTGCATAGGCTTAGTTAAACTAAGAAACCCTAAGAAAATATGAGTTTCGAAAGTATGAGTTTCGAAAATATAAGTTTCGAAAATATGAGTTTCGAAAATCTGACTGCTCTCCCTCTGCGCACCTTGATTCGAGAGGCAATACTTTGCCGACTCATGACGTTGACAATGACGAAATACGTCATACATTTTCCATGGTAGGGGTCGGAATCTCGAAATTTCGGAATCCCGAAATGTCGGAATCACGAAATTTCGGAATCTCGAGACTTCTAAATCTCGAAACTTTACATTCGAACATCTTGCAGAAAAACTCGAATCTTTACTATCGGATATTTTCAACATGGACCCCATGGGACGGCCGACTGCGCGCCAGTGCTTAGAGACCCCCTATTTGAAGGGATACCATGTGAGTTTTGAAGTAATTGAGTTTTAATAAGTAATAAGTACCGTACTTTCTCTAATATGATATAACCCCTGGGGTTGTATTTTTTCAATGACCCCAGGCGAGGGGGTTGTATTAGAGGAGGGGGGTTATCGACCGAAATCTGGAAATGGGGCGGGGGGTAAAAAGGTCGGTTTTTTGCCAAAAACACAATTTTTTGCAAAAATCCCTCAAAATCGCAGTGCCAACACCTTCTTTGCGTTTTTTTTTGAAACGTGAGTGCACATTTGAGAAAATTGTTCAGGGGGTATTATTAGAGGGATATATTATTTTTTCCAGGATATACAGGCAGGGACGTAGCGTAATACCGGCCCCGGGCCCCCCCGAAATCGGCCGGGGCCCGAAAATTTCATAAGGGGGGACCCTTATGATTTTCATTTTCTCAAAAATTTTTCTGCCTGCGGCGCTATTTTTTTTACGTTTTTACGGCTATTTGTAGTGCTATGTAACTTTTTTCAAAAATTTCTGTTTTCTCGTTAATGTTTTGAGTTTTTTGGAGAATTTTTTTGGGGGCCCCCCCCGAAATTTTTTTCTGGCTACGCCCCTGTATACAGGGTTTCCCAAAAAAACGCACCATCTGGCATTTCGCCGTGTTACATCCAATCGGCCCCAAATTTGGACCAAAGGAGTATCAGACCGTAACTAACCACAATCCTGACTTATGGCCCTGTAGCTACAGTAGTTTTTGAGTTATGGCAAAAACAAACTTTATTTTCTATTTTTCAGGGTTTTCGTGGAATTAGCCCCCTAAACATTAAGTACGGCGAAATGCCTGATGGTTCGTTTTTTTGGGACACCCTGTATAGTGTTAGGAGGGGAGGGGGATTATAATAGAGGACGGGGGGTTATATGAAAGGAAATACGGTAAATGAATTTCCAGGTAAGATACAAACAGATACATGCTGTGAGACAGAACGCGAACGCCGAAGAAACGGATAGAAGGGACGTGCGGATTCTGCTCGAAGGTTTTGCAAAAAAACTTCAGTGATGGACATAAAGGGAGCGTTATGAACTGCTTATGCTCCCGCTTTCATGAATCCGCGCAGTTATGTTTACTATGTTGAAGATAATAAATCTCTTTTCCTAGAGACTGCGCAGAACGGAGGGATTCTAGTGCTTTTTTCCGTGTTTCGCGCATTTTCCATGGTCTAAAGTAGCAAAGGCGCCGGAGATTGCATGCCTTGAATCCAACCTAGGCATATTTAGAGATTCTGAAATTTAGAGATCCTGAAAATTCGAGATTCTGAAAATTCGAGATTTTGGAAATTCGATATTCTGAAAATTCGATATTCTGAAAATTCGAGATTTTGGAAATTCGAGATTCTGACAATTCGAGATTCGGATTTTCGAGATTGCGGACTTACGCGCATAAATTCGCACATACCATTGCGATCCTGTCCCGCTGATAAAGGCTTATGGAGGCGGTTATTTGACTTTTGCTTGAACCAACGAGATTCGGTTTCATGCCTTTGTTCACAAAGATATGCGAAATACTTTATTTATCCGTCAACACTGGTGATCGGGGAAACAAAGATGCTCCAGGTAATACATTCAGGCCCGTAAGGGGGAGGGGGCGAGGGGGCGAGCCGCCCCCGCGAAGCGGGTTTTGGGCGCTGATCTGAGAATGATTATGTTTTCGGTACACATAGGATAACGGGGCGGCGGGGGCACTCAAAGTTTTTTACGATAAAAGTATTTTTAAATAAGCTTTTTTCGGGCTATAAAAAAAGCTCTTAGTATATTTTTCGGCCCTCTATCGAATGGCATATTCAAAATATCGAAAATATTCAAAACGCCGAAAATAGTTCCGCCCCCCCCCGTTATCCTATGTGCTGCCCATGGATTTTGGTCGATTTTTGTTTATTCGATAAAAAATTTCATTTACATTATTTCTGGCTGAAATTGATTATTTTAGTATATTTCTCGACGCTCTATCGAATGGCACTTGCAAATCTCACAGTAATTTTGAACCGGAAATAAGAGTGGGGAAAGTGATCAGGTCCCATCAGTTCAGCTTCCTGTAGAATATCATCAGCCAAAAACCGTAGTTCCGGATGCGTAAGCATCGATTTCCAATTTAAAGTATTAGTATTAGTTTAGAGTTTGTTTGCTGTAAGGTATTAGTTCAAAGTTTTTTAGAAAACTTAGGTTAATTTTTTTATAGGACGAAAACCTACCGGTTCGGTCGAAAATCGCTGGTCATTTTTCTCTGTTGTAATGTGTTTACAGGTGGTTTTTTGCCATCACTGCTCTGGAAAAGGTTCGAGATGATGTAAATTTTTATACGTAATATGCTGGCTCAGGCAGATTCCCAAGAATTTCCTCGGCTATCTTCTTCGACATCCCATACCGTCTCCACCCAGCCGGAACCAACGAGAACGTAGCGTCGCGTACTCAGCGTGGCGTTCAGCTACTCGAATTTTGTCGACCAGCACTCGGCGAAGTGCTTCCATTTCAAGACATGACGTTATTGGCAGTTCGTCCGGCGGTTGATCATCATCGATAGACCGGATTTCGCCCAAATCCCTTCGGACCAGGTAGCAGCCGATCAAAACCATTCATCCGAGGAACCGACGACGTAGATCAGATGGAATCGTAGCCGGCGAGTTGGCGGTTTTGCAAATCGTTTAACGTTCCGTTTTGATATCTGAAAAAATAATGATCAGATCCATTTTGAATTTTTCTTTTGTGTTTTCTTGAATCAGATGAATGTGAAAACAAATTACGAACCGAAGTGTCTTTCATAACCTACAGTTTTCCACTGATCCATGCTCGCAAAATTCCATAAATATCAATAGACGTTCCGGTCTATCGTGAACATATTCCACGGGCGGCTCGATGTAATTCACGATGTGATCGTGGGCCAACAACTTCACGGCGCGCAATTCGTTTTGATACGAATGCTATTGCCAACACGTAGTTCCTTGACGACTATTGGACTAGACGGGTGTTTTACTCAATTGCAGCAGCTTACAGGGTGTATCAAAAAAAAGTGCCCAAGTTTGTCCCCGAATATCTCGAGAAGGAAAGATATTTTACCGTGCGTTACCATGCCAGAATGCTTAAATATGTCAGGAATAGGGAAATAACTCAACTTGATTTTTTCGATTTTTGTGTACGCAACTGTACTATTGACGCTGGTTACGACCGAAAATTGTGCGTTCTTGAACGGGTGGTGGGAAAATTCTGATTTTTGGCCGAAATATAGTTGAAATTAGTAGAAGGTTAATAGCAAAGTTTTAGAATTTTTGAAGGTCTTGTTATTTTTTTACAAGCAAAACAAATTTCAGCATTTTACACCTTTTTACTTCTTAATTCGCAACTCGCTTCAAATCCGCTGCCCATGGCTGATCTTTTGCAATTGGTGTCTCCGAATGATAATCTTTAGCACAACACCAAATTTTACCTGATTCTATGGTATTTTATTATTGCTTGCTAAAACGTGCCCCAGAGGGATACTGTAGTTTTGGTTTTTTGTGTTTTTCTCTTGACTCAAAGCTGCGATCTCGCTGAAAATTTGATCATTGGTCCACAATAGTTAGGGGCACCTACTGGCGAAATATCACAGCATTCTAGCCACACACTTTCCAAAAATATGCAAAAAACTTATTTTTGAATTTAGCCACGGAAATTTCTCGATACTTGAATGGATCGGTCCGAAAACTACCATTATTTCTCTTCCCAAAAGATTTAAACGATTCTATGGTGGAAAAACCACGAAAACCGCAATTTTCTGTTTTCTACCGTAACCCGTCTGGAGCGCATTTTAGCATGCCAAGACAAAATTCCATAAAGTGCCCATTTTTCGATTCTAGACTGTTCTCCGGGTGATTATCAGAACGCAGGCAAAAAATTACTTATTTTCTGTGGTAAATGACAAAGTTATGAGGGAAAGAGGAAAACCCTTCTCGGGGCCCGATTTTGGATCTGAGGCCCCGGGTCGAATCTCCAATTTTTGAAAATGAAACAAGCACCAGGGTTTAGTGGATACAAATAAAGGCTGTATCAAACCATGCATGACAGTAAAATTCTGGAATGTTCTGGCAGAAGTTTATGGTTCATTTTGGTTTAAAACCAAAAATGACGTTTTTTCAAAAGCTGACTTTGAGGAGCTCTTCCAAATTCAATTGCGATCGAAAGCTTTTTTATTTGCATGGGTTTTAGTTGACTATCCAAGCTTGGTTTATGCTAGAAGTGTCGCGGCTACCAGAGCCTCGATAATTTTTTTACGTGGCCTCAAACTCCGGCATATTTGGGCTCCTCAGGAATTTCTTTTGACAAATTGAATGGCCCGATCAATTTGTGAATGTAATGCAAGAATGCGCCAGTTAAATAGTATCAAATAAAATTATAACGAGAATTTTAACGTCGCAATTAAATTTTATAGGAAGGTAGCAAGGTCTGCAAAACTGCACGAACCAAACGTTTTAGAGGTCTTAAAAGGCGCCCTTTCAAGGGGGTACGGTAGCTCGAAGTTTTATCAATTATAGATAAACCCCAGCCCTGCATAATTAAAGAAAGGAAATAGCTGAGTTCCATCTGGAACTTTAGAAATATTTTTCTAAAGTGCGGTTTCGTCGCCCAAAAAAATCCATGAACAAGGGGTCGTCGAAAAACTTGGAAAATCATCGATCTCAAAAAATTCTTTAATAATTTTATGCGATTGTGTTGGGGTCGCAGGTAATCTACAAACACTTATTTTGACATTTCCACCATCAGTTTTTTTAATATCCGAAATTTACGAAATTTCTCCATATAAAATTTCAGCCCTAAATAACTTTTCGACCAGACCCTCAAAAATTCTTAAATTTTGTAGGTGCATATATGCTGCTTACATTAACTTACATAGTAAAAATGAGAGGCTAGTCGCCATACAAAACTGAGAAAAATGCAATTGAAGTTTCCCCGAACGCACAGTTTTCGGGTGTCATTAGTATGGGTACGTCGCCGAAAATCGAAAAAATCAAGTTGAGTTATTTCCCTATTCCTGACATATTTAAGCATTCTGGCATGGTAACGCACGGTGAAATATTTTTCCGTTTCGAGAAAATTGGGGGCAAACTTGGGCACTTTTTTTTGATACACCCTGTACATAAAGTGATTATTTAGCTTGTAGACGACGCCGAAAGCCCCGGAGCAGATCACCTCTTTATCAGATCGTTTGTCCTAAATCCCAGTCATCTTTCCTAAAAGTCCTCTTTCCTAAAGTCATTTTTCCTAAAAGTCATCTTTCCTAAAAATCACTTTTCCTGAAATAGGTAATCGTTTACTATAAGTTTTCCTCATTCACTTTTTCTAAAAATGACTTTTTTTCGAAGATTAATTCTTCCTGAAGTTAGGTAGGCGAATAGGGATGCCACCTCCGAATAACTTGACAACCTGCTTGCTGTGTAGAAATGGCAAAATGCTTTGAACGCAGTCAGTCCTCATAAAAGTTAGTCGCATCGGAGCCTATCCTATTTTTTTAATTTCTGCATGGTTTTATGAATTCAAAGATAGCACACCTTTAATCAAAAGATCCCGAAAAGATCAAGTACGGCAGAGACATTAAAATTTAAGGCCGAGGCCTTTCGAAAAAAAATTTGTTTTGGCACTGCGAAATATTGATTTTTTTGGGAAAAACGACTTTTAGGAAAAATCACTTTTCGGAAAGATGACTAAACCCGTTTGTCCTCACCCATAGTATTAAATTAAATCTACTGCGAAAAATCTATGTTTTCTCGGAGGCAATTTGGATACACAAGGAACGAGAGGCAAGGCGAGTTGCGCGCCAGGATTTATGTTCTCGGCACGCAGAGGTCAAATATTTGTCTTTTTGGTGTTTACAGGCTCGTCGATGAGTGCGGGGTGTCGCAGCCACCACGCCTTGTTCATACAGACTGTTTTTATAAATGAGCAGATTTTCTCGCGAAAATAAATTTTTGGGAAAGCTGTTAACTTTATTTGCTTGGCGAGGGTTAGCTTTTTACCGATCCGGCATCCAAAAAACCGGCGTCCTCAGAAACATGTGCTCTTGGGAGTAAGCGTGTCACAAATTATTGGACGCTCGGTTGATGATTAATCAATATTTATTTTTATACAACCGACACGAATGACCATTTACGGGGGCTATAAATTTACAAAGAATTACAACGCCCCACAGGGGCTCGGGCCATCCAGGAAAACAATTCAAGGGCCAAACCAAAAAGCACAAATTCTTGGCTTGAGGTTAGATCAAACAGTGCAGCTCATAGTAAATGTTGGGCATCATTAGCATCACTTTCTTTCAATACTTCAAACCTACCATTGCCTTGGCCGGGACCGTCAGGTCGTAGGCGAATCACTTTCAGGCGACCTGTCCATCGTTCCTTTTGGAAGATTTCTTGACCTTCCCAAAACTGGCGGATCAAGCGCGGCATACGGCGTTCCCGTTCCTTACTAGCGCCCCGATTAAATATTTCTAAAGTTTATTGTGGAAGCTACGGTAGCTGATACCGATGTTAGGCTGCTTTGCATCCATTAAGGCGAGCATTGGCAACAGCGACTCGAAGCGCAGTTGCGTCAGGCAATACATCTCTGGGTTATGTTCGGGCACTGAAAAATCGTCTGTGTAGAGGAGTTCGAAAGCCATAGGTATTTCCGTCAACGGCGACCTTGGAAAAATTTGCCAAAAGAACCAGATATACCACTATTCAAACACCTGTTTGCAATGTGAAAATACCTGAATTTTCTAGCTCTTCTTCCCAACCACTGGGTGGATCCTGCTCATCGTACATGTCTTCTGCATCGAAAGATGGCAAGATCAATATTGCTAAAATCATTACTTCTAAAAGTTACTTCTAAAAACGTTACTTTTAAAAATTGGTACTTCGGATTATCAGTTTTTCGGCCCCTTTGGCCATATTTATGCCCAAATCGACACTTCGAATTTTAGAACTAATGAGTTTTCTAAGTAATTGTTTTAAAATTAATGGCTTTTAGAAGCAACAATTTGGCCTGCCTTACCAAAATCTGAATTTTTTATTTGAATGCAGAATTTGGATGAATTCCCGGTCGGGCGGGGGCGTACCGACATTAGAAATTTACCAGCGCTGCTGCTGCAATGCTTAATAAAGAGAATGAACCCTCCTGTTTTCTCGCCTTTTCGAGGACTTTTGATAGATACCTAAATCGTAAAAATCGGAATCGACCGCCAGGTAGGTAGGTAGGTAGGGGGTTTTTTGGGACGCCCTGTATAGTGGATTCCCGATTCTGAGCATAGGAATCGCGAAACGTTCCATTTTTTTTTGGAATTTTGTATCGAAAAGTAACTAAAACCAGACTACATAACGGCCGGCCGCGGCCGCGGCCTGATCGTCTCGACCCGTTTCGGGGTCGGAAGCTCAATATTTAGGAATGCTTGAAATTTTGGCATAATCTGGAAATGGTGAGAAATGCATTTTTTGGAGAGTTTTCATGGACAGAACTATACAAAACCAAATTCAAATTTCGGAACTCCGGAATTCCGAGATTGAGAAATCGCTCGTTTTTATCACATTCATTCACGAGCAAAAACCTGTTCGGCCAAAAGAAGCAAAAATTGTGGCCTACCTGAACCATCCATTCCATAACCTTCAGAGCACGTGGTCGAGCCCTCCGCTGAAGGAATTTGCTCCACCATCTCCGCAAAGTTTTCATCCATACAACGGCCTCTTTCTACGAGAATTGGGCTAAGCAAGCGTTGAATTTTACCATCATATTCCTTGCCCGGACGCAAAAACACGAGTTCGATCCGAGCATCTACTAATTTCACGCAAAAATAGAAGTATGGATAGAGAGCGTTCTCCATATTCTTCGCTTCTTGCAAAAGTTCTCGCAGCAACATTTGTAGTTCCGGTCGCTCGCTGACAAGCCTCCAGTTTGATATGTAGCGTAGAGCTCGTTCGTAACACGAGTGACTTTGAGCATAATTCCTCTCCTCGTCGGTCAGAGAGACAGCTTTTACTGTAAAAAATTGTGATCAGCATCACGATGTTCCAAAAAAATGTTACAAAAAGTTATTTTGGGCCAAAAAAAGTTTTGTCAGATCGTTTCGACTGACGCGGTTTACCAGATAGTAGACTGTGTGAATTTTTGAAACTGTAGAAGAGGAGGGATATAGTTCTTATTCAGTGCCCTATTGCTCGGTGCAAGGCCACAAGCTTGGCTTGGACTTGGTGACAGCCTTTCTTGCAGCCTGTTTTTTTTTTTGATCAATCTTCCTTCATTTCTAAGATTTATCGTTAAAACTTTGCCTTGGAACGTCTTTGTATAAAAAAAAACATACCTTCTTCACATTTCCATTCTGGCCAATCATGGCGCAGATACTGCGAATCCGGGGCATCGGAACTCCCTCTTAAAACATACAAATAGCCCATAATCGTCCAGGGAGTCCCAGCCCGATAATAAAACGAAATATACCTGCACTCTCCTTAACATCGGCTCGCTCTTGCTTTCTATCCAACCTATCGTTTTCTACTAATTAGCTATTAGTTGCCCAACTACTCTAACAAGGGAAAACTTGATTCCGCCTATTTGCATCTCGCCTACTGCTATTTCGCCTCCTCTTATTTCGCCTACATCCCATTCCGCCTACATCTTATTTCGCCTACATCTTATTCCGCCTACCTCTTATTTCGCCTACCCTTTATCTCGCCTACATCTTATGTCGCCTACCTTTCATCTCGCCTATTTTTCATATTACCTGTATTTGCGCATCAAGCATTAATACAACTTCAGTATATCGTATTTTCCATGCTGAAATCCCAGATAGTTTTTTGAGCTCTTTCTGAATGCACTCTATAGACTACCTACTTTGTGCCAAGGTATCTGTCGTACCCAGTTATGGATCGTGATCGTGCTTAACTAAAAGGCAGTCCAGCTTTTATATCATGGAAGATACTATATACCGAAGCTCCACTAACGTTTTATGAGCAAAAACAGGTATTATTCAAAATAGGCGAAATGAATGGTAGGCGAAATAAGATATAGGCGAAATAAGATGTAGGCGAAATAAGTTGTAGGCGAAATAAGAGGTAGGCGGAATAAGATGTAGGCGGAATGGGATGTAGGCGAAATAGCAGTAGGCGAGATGCAAATAGGCGGGATGACATGCAATCCTCTAACAAGGGGGAGGGGGGGTCCATCCCAAAGGTGGCTAGAGAAACTGTATAGAATATTCGGATTTATCTACTTGAACCGTTGCGACCTAAGCATTTGCTCCATTCCCCTTCTACCTATGCCTTGGCTATCGCCATAGTTGGCGCCAGAAGGACGGCCAGACGCCATCATTAAATTCTTATCGTTAATAATTGATAGTATAGTACAATTTTTTGTGAATCACATTGTACTCACACTTGGAAATCAGGCGCATATTGGACAAATGGTGGTATCTGGCTGGAGAAGACGTAGCCAGGTTTCGGCTCCGACCTGAGAAGGAGTTTGTCCAACTCCTGCGGAAATGGCCTTCGTTCCCGATTCCAATATCCGAAAGATGACGCCGACGCTCTGATTTCGTACTTTTCGTAGTGGTCGGTGACACGAATCTTCTCTACGAGCATCCGACGGAGGGATTCCATGTCGAGATAAGCTGTTTTCGGTAGACAATGCGTTCGATTCTGTGATCCCTTTGGTCGAATTTCGCCCCAGTCCCTTCGCACGAGATAGTCATCAAAATCAATCCATTCATCGCGGGAATCCTCGATCATCCGTAGCATGTATCGGCGGCGACGATCCGTGAGCTTAGAAAGTTCCTCGACGTTCTTTTTCGCCACCTGAAAATTTGAGAGAATTTTGCAAAACAGAGTCCGGTCGGAAAAGCGTCTCAGGAGACGTCTACACCCTAGCTTTTGGGTACTAAACGAATTTCTGAGACCTCTGTTTTCTTCTTTTGAGCTACTTATTTTCCACAACATTGACGGCATACTAAGAGATTTGAGACTCACGATATTTTATGCTTCCGAAAGTTTACTCACGTTCAAAACCCTTCTCCATTCCACGGTCGAAAACAAATTTGTGTTGGCAGCCGCCAGGACACGAACGGCGAATAGGATGCAGGCAAATCGAATCTTTTCCTCAATGAACAACACAACATTAAATCGCGGCCAATCCAGTGGACCACCCGCTAGATCGAGTTGTCGCATCGTCATCTGATCTTTTATAGACCAGCTCGGCTCTTTCATATCGTTTTCATATACCGTAAAGTCATTGCCGGAGAAAGTTTGCTTGAAGGCATCGATTTCATCAAGACGCCATAGGCTAATGTTCTTCCCATGCAGATTGTCACCGTCAAACAATAATTTTGCTTTTGGATACATTTCGAAGGCGGCATCGATTTCGTCGCCTTCCTCTCCAAGAAAAAGCTCTTTTAGATCTGCACATGCTTTTTTGCACATCAGAATGCTATCGTCAAAGTCCGGCTTTGTTTTTGACTTTTCGAGCCAGTCACTGAACAGCGGCCATTTGCTTTCACGCTCCGCATCGATCGTTGCGGAAGTTCGACATTGAAGCACGTGTGCGGAACCGTATGTGCTGTGTGAAGACCAGCTGATTAGCAGCGAATGCCCCTCGAACTGTTGTCCATCAGCACCAAGCACCGCGCTCTGAATGTCGCTTCCATCAAGTCCGATCACTTTGTAGAGTATGGTATTGCCTCGACGCCAAAACGGATCTTCATCGAAACCGAAATCCTAAATACAGGTCCATCTTCTTGCAAAATATAATTTTTTTACAAATATTATCTTAAAAATGCGTTTGTGAAGGGATGGATTTGAAAAACCTCCGGTATCCCGAAGAATAGGCTAAGATAGCAAAGCGAGAATCATCGTGAGTTTGAACCCAACCTCCAATCGTTAATAACGGCCAGAAATCGTTTTCGTGGACCGATTTTTAAGTTTAGCCCTTGTTGAATACCTTGTTCCTATGCTAAAGTCAAATTTTGCTTTTGGCTTTTATTTCGATTTGAATGACTGAGTACTATTGTCGAAGCTCTGTCGAATGGCACTACCCGAATTAGCCGGTAAGCGCAATTATTAGGATGTTTACTGCCCCCTTCCGTATCTTATTTCGTGTCTCACCTCGCGTTCGGCACCTTATGCCATTATGTATATCAACGCTTATGCTTTCTAAGGCACCTCTCGGAAACGTGCAGGCACAAAAGCCCTCACAAACCGAAAATACAAGAATGACACACACGCTTGCCGCCGTTGATACTAACTTACCAGTCCCTGAAAGATATCATACATGACTTGGGCCTCCGGACGCATCATCGGATCCTTCTCCATGCACCTAAATAGTGTTTTTAATGCACTTAGAACTGTTACTTACCGGCGAGCAGCCTTAATGATTTCACATGCGGGGGTTTTTTCCGCCGGCAAGGGAAAATCTGTGAAATGCTGGCAAGGCACGTTCCTAAAAAACTGCCGGGTTAAAGAACGCCAAGCTAATTTCCCCTGACAAGGGAAGTGTACGAACTTAAGGTTTTTTCAAAATAAGTGGGTCAGATAGAGTCAAACGCGGGTATTCCGGATCTCTAATCAGAATCTGCTGAACGAAACGGTGAAAAAAGTTGTGAGGCTTCAAAGTTGGCAAAATCGACAAAAACGGTACCTCTAGCGGCCTGTAAAAAGCGCGGAAGCGGAATTGGGCAGAAACTGATCAGTGCATCTTGTTCAGCAGGAAAAGCTCTTTCGAATGAGCTATAATTCAAAACGTCTACAATGATTTCGCGAAATCTCTTCGATGCCCTCCACAGGCCGGCTTACCCGTGAATAAAAAAGAAGCTTTTTGAAAAATTATCGGTAATTGCTACATAATATAGTTCATTTGAAAGCGCTTTTTCTGCTGAACAAGATGCACTAATCAGTTTCTGCTCAATTCCGCTTCCGCGCTTTTTACAGGCCGCTAAAGGTACCGTTTTTGTCGCTTTCGCCAACTTTGAAGCCTCATAACTTTTTTCACCGTTTCGTTTAACAGAATCTGATTACAGATCCGGAATACCCGCGTTTGACCTGACCCACTTATTTTGAAAAAGAAATGCCAACTTAAAGCGCACGTTCAGGGAGGGGCCGTGTACTCGTCCCAACGTGTACACCCTATGGACGTTGGGACCGCGCGCGCTGCCTGCCCGTGCCGTGGGAGGCCATTCCCCTCCTTTCCGGGGTGTGGCGCCCCTCCGCCCCTCGCCAGGTTGCACCTGTGGCTGACTGTTATGCGACCGCGTCTCCCAATCGGGAGACCAGGGTTCGACCCCCGGCCGCGGCAAAAATCTTTGCTTTCTTGCCCAAAAACGTCCCTGAACGTGCCCTTTAAGTTCATGCACTTCCTTGTCAGATGAAAACGGTCAATGTATAGGCAAAACCAACGTCCGTTCCACCAACTGCCAGACGACAATTCCCGCCGCAAAGATATCTCGCTTGGAGCGTGCCTGGGAAGGTCAGCAATGTGGTTGGAAAACCCGTGGTGACAATTATTTCTATCAACGGATTGCAGATTTGCATTTCACAATGGAAAAAGCGGTTACAAGGAATCAAGGTTGCGAATGGGATACCATTGAGAAAGAATGTAAGCAAAATGCACATTCTATGTAGAAACGGAATGTACGCGCGATAAACTCATAGATTAGAAATACGGGATAAATTGCGCACCATGCATTCTACAACATTTTTCTACACACATTTCCTTACAAATATTTATGGTCTGCATCCAGGCCGGTAGGTGAGGCTCTCACCGTGAGGGGGCAACTGGGGCAAGTTCGGGCACTTCTTTAGGATCACCCTGTATAAAGACCTCTTTCTCTGTCGACTTAAGGGAGCGGAGCTCTGGCGCCATGTAAGCCAGCGTTCCAGCACGCTGGGTTGTTCCACCCACTTCCCTGTTGATTCCCAAGTCGCCAACTTTCAAAATGTATTGTGCGGTTATCAGCAAACTGAACACACTTATACATTGATTGAATGGACCTAACTTTGCCGGTTTGATATCACAATGTACGATGTTCTGTGTCTTCAAGTACAGCAAAGCGTTGAAGATCGATCGTGACCAGATCGAAACGGTCGTCACCGTATAAAATAGTTCGCAATTCACCATTACTGTAAAGGTAGTAAGTTATTCTTGCTGGGCACTTTCATAAAACCATTTGTTTCATTAAAAGGGCCAAGGAGTCGGAATCCTTGTGCTCACGCATCGAAACTAACTACACTACACCAAAAACTGAAGGCGAACCCTACAAGTATTAGACGTTTATTTCTTTGCAAAAAAACGCGAAATATTCACGCAAGATTTAAATTTCTTCGACGATCAATCGCCCTTTTCGGCCGCGAGTTCGTATGTCGTGATGCATGACATCTCACAAGGGAAGTGCACGACCGGACCGTGGGATTGCGACACGAGACATAGTGGACCTGATAGAATCGGACGCGGGCTTTCCGAATCATTTATTTAGAATTTAAAATTATTTAGCAGATTCCGATTACAGATTCGGAATCCCCGTGTCCGATTCTATCAGATCCACTATGTCCAGGGACGTAACGTAAGGTGCCCCCCCCCCCCCCCCCCTGAAATCGGCCGGGGCCCGAAAATTTCATAAGATTATGATTTTTATTTTCTGAAAAATTTTGCTACCTGCGGCGCTATTTTCTCACGTTTTTACTGCTATTTGTAGAGCTATATAGCCTTTTTTCCAAAATTTTTCGCCTGCGGCGCTGTTTTCTCGTTAATTTTTTGAGTTTTTCGAAAAAAATGTTTCGGCCCCCCCCCCGAAATTTTTGCCTGGCTACGCCCCTGACTATGTCACGTCTGCTCTGATCCCACGGTCAGGTCGTGCACTTCCTAGTCAGGGATTCTGAGGTTAATTTTCTAAGACCAAACAGCTACATAGAATGATCGGAATCGCTTTAAGATGCCAGAAATTGCGGAAGAATTTTCAAACATAATCTTTTTTCCCGCCGGAACTGGACAAAAGCGTGTGCAAAGCGGTCGCATTGCGGCCGTAAGTTGCTCATTGCCAAGAACCGACGCTTTGGTGTGTTAATAAAACTACTTCGGCGCCCTTTAAGCTTAAAACCATCACTGGTATCTTAGCCGTCGAGATATTTTTTGTAAAGATTTGAAAAATTCTTACAACTATCCAATGATCCGTGTTCGCAAAATTCCATGAAAATTAAGAAGCGGTCATCTCGATCGTGCACATATTCTTTGGGTTGTTCGACATAATTGACGATATTTTCATGCGCCAGCCTTTTTAATACACGCAATTCATTTTCGTATTCAGCCGTGTTGTCCCGAAGCAATTCTTTTACGGCAAACTGCCTATAAGAGGTTTGGATTCCGGTTAAAAGAATTTTTTTACCCGGCGTCGAGGTTTACCTTGTAGACGGCGCCGTACGATCCAGTGCTGATGAGCTCTTTTGGCGATTGCTCTTTTTCAACCATACCTAAAATGGGAACATAAAAGATTAGATAATTTTTGTGTTTTTAGGCGGCCCCATACTCACGAAAGGAGCCAAAATTCGTGCGTGCGGGGACTGAACCTACCGGTCAAAACCGAAAGAGTTACTGTCGAGAGATATCAGACAAATGATTTTGTCGCGAAAAAACCTAAAATATTTGAGTAAAACCGAAAAGTTCTTGGGGCGAAAACGACATTTTGAGTGCGCGGGGTTTACATGCCGTAATACTCTGTAAGGTCTCCTGACATCGGCCAGGCTCCTAATAAAACGTCCGGTAGCTTTGGAAAGGCGGGAAGACCGCAACGCGTGCGATAGACGCGTCGCGCAATTGCGCAAGCAGGCATGCGCAGCTAAAAACCGGTTGCTATTCCGCGCACCCACACGCAACGCGCGAAAAACACGTACAGTACGCCCTTTCCCTTGAACCATCTGGACCGAACCCATGGGCGGTTGTGTCCCTTATTCAGGAAAAAACTAGCGTCTACCCAAAGCGGCGGTAGCCTATGTAATGGGACCGACGGCGCTTTTCATTTTTTGTCATTGGAATTCATTATTTTGCTTTTTACCCGGCCGGGTTCCATTAACCCTAATCGTGATTTTCCTCCTTAAAGTTTTTTTATTTTACAAAAATGTTCGAAAATTTTTAACGACTAAGAGTCGTCAAAAAGCATGAAGCATGATTCATGTTTTATCTCTTCCCCCGAAATATTAATTATCATAGTTGTTAAGGTAATCCAAATGAAAAGTAGCGTTTTCCGTGAAAACAGGCAGCAGGAAGGCTGAAAAAAAGTGACCATGTCAGCAACTGCTTATCGCAGCGGCATAGACAAAACTATACTCTGCCATACCCCCAGGGGGTATACCCCCCATGGGGGTACAAAAGGGGTACGAGGTGGGGGTACAAAGGGGGTACGGGGTGGGGGTACAAAGGGGGTACGGGTGGGGGTACAAATGGGGTACCCCCCCAGTAGCACAGAAAATTTTTCTCTAGCGACCTCCCACATATACCACATGTCGGTGGATCGCAAAAATACAACAAGAAAGGACGAAGTCAGCTGGAATTGTATCAAGGCAGTTAATAAAATACCAAATTTGAACTAAACATTTTTTTAAGTTGAAAGTTTATCGGCGGACGAATCTTTTTGAAATAAACCCAGAAACCCCTGGTAACGTTATAGTAAGAGTTTCAATAATGTTTTTAGTAAAATTCAGACATGTTTAAGTGGAAAAAATCACAAAAATTTGAAAAATGTTTACTTCAAGTTTCGTATTTTATTAAATGCCTTGGTGAAATTCCGGCGGACTTCGTCATTTCTTCCTGAATTTTTTGCGAGCCACCGATATGTGGTATGTGTGGGAGGTAACTGGAAAAAATCTGTTGGGTTGCTGGGGGGGGGGGGGTGGGGGGTGGGGGGGTGGGGGGTGGGGGCAGGGAGGGTAGGGGTGGGGGTGGGAGGGGGGGTAGGGGGTGGGGGTACCCTTTGTACCCCCACCCGTACCCCCACTGTACCCCACCTCGTACCCCTTTTGTACCCCCATGGGGGGTATACCCCCTGGGGGTATGGCAGAGTATAGACAAAACCGATCGGGCCGTTACATGTGCGATTAAAAACCCTACCAGGCTTCGCATGAATTTTTGATGGCCTGTTATCAGGGCGGTTATGGATTGCAAGCGGCTGGTTTCGGACCAAAACGAAGGCTCATTTGGAGGCTTACAATAAGCGCCACGTCAAACGCCCATAAAACGGAAACAAAACGCGGCAGTTTTGTAAAGTTCCTGCTTATCGTTCTTTACATTTAATCCATTTATTTACTAAACATAATAGAAGGGTGGTACGTATCTCAGGAATGCACTCGTCTAGGAGAATCGACAAAATCAAAGTTTAATACGCTCAAGAAAATGCTAAAGACACTCGTTTCTGCTTTTCACCAGTCCTCATCGAAGCGGATTACCAAACAAAAGGGTGCAAAGGGAAAGGGAAATTGGAAAATATGTATTAAAAGCCATGAAAAAGACCAAAATCACATTTTGACACCTTAGAAATGCACTTTCATAAAGCCACGGTTGGGTACCCATGGGGAAAATCCTAGAATACAAAATTGGAAGTTATCACAAGGCGCTATCAAAATATTATACATGGTATTTATGGGCTCAAAAGGATTCCATTTCTCGGTTTTTCGTCGAGTTTGCCTTCCTCAGCGTTGTGGACATTGGAGTTGGAAAGTTTCTTCGAGGGCTTGCGACTAAAAACGCTTCATAACTTCATAATTTTTTTTTGTACCCCCATGGGGTATACCCCCCATGGGGGTACAAAAGGGGTACGAGGTGGGGTACAAAGGGGGTACGGGGTGGGGTACAAAGGGGGTACGGGTGGGGTACAAATGGGGTACCCCCCAGTAGCACAGAAAATTTTTCTCTAGCGACCTCCCACATATACCACATGTCGGTGGATCGCAAAAATACAACAAGAAAGGACGAAGTCAGCTGGAATTGTATCAAGGCAGTTAATAAAATACCAAATTTGAACTAAACATTTTTTTAAGTTGAAAGTTTATCGGCGGACGAATCTTTTTGAAATAAACCCAGAAACCCCTGGTAACGTTATAGTAAGAGTTTCAATAATGTTTTTAGTAAAATTCAGACATGTTTAAGTGGAAAAAATCACAAAAATTTGAAAAATGTTTACTTCAAGTTTCGTATTTTATTAAATGCCTTGGTGAAATTCCGGCGGACTTCGTCATTTCTTCCTGAATTTTTTGCGAGCCACCGATATGTGGTATGTGTGGGAGGTAACTGGAAAAAATCTGTTGGGTTGCTGGGGGGGGGGGGGGGGGGGTGGGGGTGGGGTGGGGGCGGGGGGGGGTAGGGGTGGGGTGGGAGGGGGTAGGGGTGGGGGTACCCCTTTGTACCCCCACCCCGTACCCCCACTGTACCCCACCTCGTACCCCTTTTGTACCCCCATGGGGGGTATACCCCCTGGGGGTATGGCAGAGTATAGACAAAACCGATCGGGCCGTTACATGTGCGATTAAAAACCCTACCAGGCTTCGCATGAATTTTGATGGCCTGTTATCAGGGCGGTTATGGATTGCAAGCGGCTGGTTTCGGACCAAAACGAAGGCTCATTTGGAGGCTTACAATAAGCGCCACGTCAAACGCCCATAAAACGGAAACAAAACGCGGCAGTTTTGTAAAGTTCCTGCTTATCGTTCTTTACATTTAATCCATTTATTAACTAAAGGCAAATACAAAAAGGTGGTACGTATCTCAGGAATGCACTCGTCTAGGAGAATCGACAAAATCAAAGTTTAATACGCTCAAGAAAATGCTAAAAACACTCGTTTCTTTTGTTCACCAGTCCTTATCGAAGCGGATCACCAATCAAAAGGGAAATTCGAAAATATGTATGTAAAAGCCATGCAAAAAGAGCCAATCACAATAAAACACAATTTAAAATGCACTTTAATAAAGCCACGGTCGGGTACCCATGGGGAAAATCCTAGAATAAAAAAATTGGAAGTTATCACAAGGCCTATCAAAATATCTTACAAGGTTTTTATGGGCTCAAAAGAATTCCATTTCTCGGTTTTTCGTCGAGCTTGCCTTCCTCAGCGTTGTGGACATTGGAGTTGGAGAGTTTCTTCGAAGGTTTACGACTAAAAAACCCTTGTAAATTTTCTGGTAACTCTTTTTATTTATCTTCTCCTTTTAAATTTTTTTTATTTTTGGAAAGTATTGAGCTACCGGGCAATTTAAAAAATGTTTTATAGCGCCGTTTTCACGCTTTTCCAGCTTGAGGATCAAGTTGCCGTCACGGATAAGGCTATTAGCCTCAAAACACAGAAAAATTAGCTGCATATTTGATGAATTTTTGAGGCCTAACTGACCTATTTTCCGTCTCCTCATCCTCATCCTCCCAGGAGACGTGGATTCCGATGCAGATGATCCCCGAAATTATCATCCCGACCGCACCGACGATGAACATCACTTGGTAGCTGTTGGTAGCATCACGAACCCAACCTGGAAAAATTTTTAGTTCTAACTTTCCATCAGGGCATTTACTAAAAATCATTGATTTAAAGTCTTTTAAGAACATTAAGCTTATTCGAAAGCATGATTGTAATCCCGGGCTTCATATCAGGTTTTACTGAAAACGCCCATTTGGGTTCCACTAATTCCAAAACGTACCGACTAACGCCGGTCCAATGAGATTCCCGATACCCTGGGTCATCGACAAAAATCCGTATCCATTCTGGAAATCTGAGACAAACATCAGCTCACAGAGCAACACGGATCCGAGCACGTAGTTGGAAGCGATGAAGAAGCCGTATAGCCAAGAAATGGCCTGAAAAGGGTGTTTTACGGGAATACTCTAGCTATCTCTTTCTCTCTCTCGTTCACGTTCTCTCTCTCTCTCTTTCCCTCTCTCGCTCTCACGCCCTCTCGCTCGCTCTCTCTCTCTCTCTCTAGCACTCTAGCCTTTACCAGCATAAACCGATAGTCCTGAGCGATCGTCGACAGCAGAAGGCACACACCGCACAACGAAATCATCACACCGTAAACAAGGAATAGATGCTAAATAATATTGTATTTTCAAGTAACTCTCTATGGTATAGTCCATTTCATAAATATAGCTGCTAAGAATTACTCACCTCCTTAATCCATCCCCGATCACTCAAAAACCCGCAGAAAAACATTGAAATCAGGTTGAACCCTCCGATACCGGCAACGAGACTTGAAGCCTAAAATCACCTTTTTATAAGGGGAATATAATTTTTTGGATACCTGGCTCAATGGTACTCCAAGATGTTCATCAACAAACTCGGGGAAGTTGACGTATGGAATGTCGTAGAACATGTAGAGTAGAAAAATCGAGAAGAGATAGGCCGAGAATCGCCAATCCGTCGCGAGGCGCCAATACTCCTTGGCCGTGTCGGTGATCGTGGTTTTCATCTAAAGCGGCATATTACAGGAAGTTTTGTCGGTATTTCTGGACTTGGAAGCCAACTACGGTGAGATGCTAAGCTAAAAAAGCAAAATCTGAGGTTGCATTTGAATTCTTTCGTAAACATTTGGAAGTTATTTTTAGCTCATTTTAAATGTAGTAATACTGAATAAGAAAACCAAATAAACAGGTGATTGGAAGGATCTTACGGTATCTCCCTGATTTTACCTGTTTCAAATGCAATACGTCCTTCAACGTCTTCTTCTTTTTCTTTTTCACAAAAAGCGTAGGAGCCGATGGGACCTTTGAGCGAAGACCGCGAAATGAATCCCGGAGTGCCATATACCTAAAAACCGCACCATAAGCGCGCTACGAAAGTCTTCACATACCGTAACCCAGTAGCATTGCTAGCCGGTACTCGCGAGTGGGCCACCATAGAAGTGCGAATACCACGCGCCGTCTGGTTCAACTGGCCTGGCATTCCTAAATTTGGAAGTTTAATGGCTCGAAGCCAGCCAAAATTTTGATAACATGATGACTTACCAGCTCCCTGACGATCCCACTTCATCACAATTCCGCTATCGACATTGACAATTTTTGCGGGGGCATTGGACGGCTGGACGATGGACAGTTCACGAGGTTGGCTCGACTAAATTAAAGTTTTATAAGTCTCGTCCTCTCTCTCTATCCCCTCTTTATCTCTCTCCTACCCACCTGCTTCGTCAAAATGTGATCCGACAACTCTGAACTCGATGAATCCCCATCATTCGACAGAGCGGAATCACTGCTGGAGCCAGATGAGGGTCCAAGTTCTGTCATTGCGCTAAAACGAATGAACTTATTAAACTGATTTAACTAAACTAATCACGCTTCCTCTACCCCATATGTATCTCCATCTGATCGAGCGCATCCATCGACATACTGTGATTGGAGTACATTCGGGTTCTGCTCTTTGAGGTGATGGTATTGTAGGGAGAAGTTGAAGTCTAGAAAAGTCTTGTAATTTGCAAATGCGAGTAAATTATAATCCCATCGAGTTGATAAAGCTACCTGTAAGTCCAAATGGTCAAGCTTTGCCGTCAAAATCTCATCTTCTGGAAGCGGGGGAAGGTCCAGTTTGGGGACTGGATTCCGGAATAGCCCGAAAGATTTGGATCGGGTGACGTTGTCCTGGAGGTTGAGGACGGCTTGGCGGATTGACTAAAATAGTATATTGTCGATCGTAGTTTCGACGTCAGGGCTGATTTTTTGAACTATCTAGGTACAGTGCAAGTCTCACAGTATAGGTAAGGGCCACTTACCTGGATAGAATTTGATGGTTCGATCTTCTGTAAGAATTCATCAGCATACACCGGAATTACCGGCATACTTCTTGAGAGTCTTGGTCGTTCCTGGACAGCTTCTCGGACCTAGGAAAATTGGTTTGAATCGGCTTCTACGTGTTTCAAAATCGGGACATCAAAAATTAGCAACTTTAAGGTATCTCACCGGTAGCAAAGTATTGAACCCAGCGAGATCGGCATTCCAAACGCTCTCCCGGTCCTCCTTCATCTTGTCGAGTTTCCGTAAAAATTTGTTCCGTTTGTACTCCGTGGTCTCGTTCGGCCACTCGACATCGCGCATCCAAATTCCGAGGAGCACGAGGAACAGAAAGGTGATACCGTAGAGGAGGATGGCCCACCAGAAGTCGTAGTGGGCGAGGACCTGTAAATGTCCAAAAATACCGTAAGCTTCAGAGAGCTCGTAAAAGCGGGAGAGAGCGAGAGAAAGAGAGAGAGAGAGCAAGTAACTCACCTTTTCAATAATCCATGGAAACACCAGCGTCCCAGCTCCAGATCCACTCACAGCTAAGGCTGTAGCCAACCCGCGATGCTTCTCAAAGTAATACGTAACGATGACGATTCCAGAGTTGTAGCAAAAACATAGACCCATTCCTGAACCAGACGATAAGCGACGTGATTTAACCTTACCGGTAACAATCCCAAAGAAAAAGCCAAAAAACCAGATGTTGTTCGGGCCGGCCCACGCTATTATTGTGCCGCCACCGGCGAGCAGACCGCCCAGGATGGTAGTGGCGCTAAAATTACAGGTTTAATGACAATAGCTTTCTGAAGCTTACCGGCAATCATAAATGTCAGTTAACGTTCCAGCGATGGGTCCTCCAAGAAGTGGAATTGCTAGGTAGAAGGAAGCAACTACAGAGGCGCCAAGACGAGCCGAGTCGAAGGTCTAAAAATGTGATTGGTATAATTAATTTTGATTGGTATAATCGGTATGATTTGAAAGATAGTAGAAGAGACAGTCAGGCTTCTTACCTCTTGCATCGCCGGATAAATCATTCCAAACGAGAAGCTCAGCCCATCGCAAATGAAATGGATGAAGAATGAGATCAGCACGATGACTAAAATTTTCAACTTTCTTTGTTTTTGCCACGTATACACCTTCTACGTAAGAATAAACTAGGCGGTTTTTACAGTATTATCGGGTCCTTTAGAGCTGGAAAACTTACCCCATCCAAACCCTCCATCCAGGGCTAGCGGTTGACAATCGCTGGAGGATGTCGAGGTCGATGCGGTTTCGACTGAAACCGCGTATTTTAGAACTGGTCTTTAAGAATTACCGTCATCTGCCGGTCCATCATATTGCACCAAAGCTTGTCGCTCGTCAAAGCCATCTTCTGGTCGGTAGATCTGTAAAAATTTGCGTAAGTAAGCGTTCCATTTTCTCATTTCAAGGTAGATGAATGTCCCTGCAAGGCCATTTCAGAGCTTCTCGGGGTTCAATAAACAACTTTTAAGAGGTATTTTTGTATTTACATACGTTTTCGACGTGGTCCTATAACCGAACGTTTCAAAATGCTAATATAAACCTTTCCCATACAAAATTTCGATTTATTTTTTTGAATTTACCCTTTTCCTTTTTTACTTTCCTTCTAAGGAAGCAGGGCTAGGCAACGAGCAAAGTTTCTTTAGGGATCCGAGAGAGCGAAGCTTTTGAAGAGTTTCGGTTTGAAAAAATCAGATTAATTTCCGTCCATACCTTCTTATTGTCGACCCAGTCCTTCACATCGCCGTCGGTGGTGAACCGAGTCTTCTTAACTCCGCTCGCTCTCCTATTGTTTATTATTGCGGCGTTCTCCATCTGAAGCTAAACATCGTCGTAGCGGGTTTGGGAAAATTGAGACGCGGTCAAGTCCTTACCCTCGTGAACGACCCGTCGTCACTTTTCCGCTAGTAATTTGACACCAACCTTTCGTTCTTTTGCCTCCTTTTCCCGTCTGCCACTTTTTCGGGGTTTGGGTATTTGTTGTAGCAAAACAATGTCATTAGAGCCGTTTTTCACTGAATTAGCTATTTAGAAGTATCTGAATATTCGTTTTTTACTCTCATTATTTTCTTTGATACTTTTATGGGTTTGGGGGATAAAAACTTACTTATTCTTGCTTAACGGCTTACAAAAAAACCTCAGTAACAATTCATAACGCTAAATCAATATAAAGTTTGCGATTTTTAAAAAATTTGTAATGATTAGGTCGATGAGGTCGGGTATAATTTCCCTCAATTTTATGCTGAGTTTGCAAGCTTTCAGTTCAAAAAACTTTTTGATAATTCCCTGGGGATCATCTTAGTGCCATATTAAATTTTTATACATGTTTAATAATGTAAAAAACCGTATTTCCTGCAAAATATGTAATTCTCTAGTTTTCATATCCGGATCCATCATTTTCACACTTTCCCCAATATCACCCCAACCACCAAAAAAGCATTCGGATGATCGAACCATCACTCTATCTCATCCCCCCGTCATCCCAGTTTTTCGATTCGCTTTATCTAGTGGAGCGCCCCGGAAAATCGCCATAAATTTGTGTGTGGCTAGCCAGACTGGCGGAGCGCTGGATTGAGGGGTCTCGCCCATTTTTTGCAAAAAGAATTCCTTGGATGGGGTGGCTTCACTCTATTTGTTTTTGCCCGGCCCTCCATTTCCGGCCGCACGTAGCCCCAATCAAATATGGGATATGTGGCCGGAGGATTGGAGGGCCAAAATAAAAAAAAAGCTTAGGTAAATATGACGGAGTGGATCGTTAAATCAACTTGTAAGACCTAGAGTATCCTACTTAGCAAGGCAAATGGCGCCTGGAATTGCATAGTTTAACTATTTTTTAGCAAATTTGCCTCGATTTTCCGATTACTCTACGTTCCATTCCGCCATTTTGTTGCCAATAACAAACAAATTTAACTCGCCTTTCTCTTGGCGGTCGCTGGCGAGCTGGCGACGTTTTTTCATAACCAAACGGGTTGCGTTTAGCTGTATAGCTCCCCAACTCCTGAAAAACATATGCATTAATGATACCTATTTTATTGGAAGACATGAATGAACGTATCAGAAAAAGTGTGGAAATTTGAAAACTAGGAGAAAGAGGAAATTGATGAATAACGAGGGAGATAGACCTATTGAAACCCAACTCTTATTTTTCTAGTAGACGAAGAAGAAGTGGGGATGTTCCGGGTCAACAGTAAATTCCGCACTAGAGATAGAAGGGGCTTCCTTCCGGTCGCCGGATTGGCTGCCGGATTAGTCACCTAATAACCTAGGTTCCGGTCGACCTTAAAAGTCATCCTGGGTTTGATTAAAAGTCTAGGGAAATACGGCCCGCTAGAGTGTGGTGAAGTTTTATTAAATGTGCCTTAAATCAGGGCGACCAATTAGCATTTGGAAAAGCGGGGTCGCGCATTAATAGTAGATGTATTTTGAAAAAACTGCCCAAATTTACGAAGGTTTACACAGGTTCCTCTAATAGATGAGTAGCGTAGCCCAGTTTTCGTAGAAAAAACCGGGTTGCGTCACTTCCAAAAGCTATAAGCTTCTGCTGCAAACGAAGCACTCGGTCAGCTGGTTGCCAACCTGCCGACAAAACCCAACTTTTCCATCTTGATGTCACAAAACGCGTCTCCCCCTCTGGGGGACACAATTGTAATCAATCATTTCACACTCTCCGCCCACGCATCGATTCCAGCCACTTCAACACCCCCCGAAATGACGGGGGAATTGTTTATTGTTTGCGGGAAGTTTGTGGTGGGGTGATAAGTGATTTCGGGCGTTTTTAGAAATATTACCACCCCTTATTTCTAGAATTTTTGAGCAAATTCAGGTAAACTTATCTAACGGAAAATGGGCAAAGAATAATAATGGACCGGCATTAAATAGCTATAAATTTGATAAGCCACCTGAAAAGTAAGTTTTTAAAGCGCAGAATCGATATCTTAAGGAGGCACTAAGCGTTTTAGTCGCCGTCCAGTTGATACAAAGTAAGCCTTCCTGATATTCAGCAGGAAATAGAAAAGCTCGAAACTGTGGAAAAACGGCATGACATACCTTTGAAGAGAAGAAAACGAAAAGTAGGGCGTAAGACTACGCCCAAAAACCCATTTTGACGACACGGAACCTGTTTAGCCATTCTCCCCATTCACATTAGCCATTCATCATTCCCAGATGCCCGTGCTAATTATTCATAAGGTCATCCGGGCCTTCGGTGGCACCCAAAGGGCATGGGAAGGGGATCTGTAGCAT